TGAGCAGGTAGTGAACAGAGCACCTGAGCAGGTAGTGAACAGAGCACTTGAGCAGGTAGAGAACAGAGTACCTGAGCAGGTAGAGGACAGAGCACCTAGTGAACAGAGCACCTGAGCAGGTAGTGAACAGAGCACCTGAGCACCTAGTGAACAGAGCACCTGAGCAGGTAGTGAACAGAGCACCTGAGCAGGTAGAGAACAGAGTACCTGAGCAGGTAGAGAACAGAGTACCTGAGCAGGTAGTGAAGAGAGTACCTGAACAGGTAGAAAACAGAACAGAGCACCTGAGCAGGTAGTGAACAGAGCACCTGAGCAGGTAGTGAACAGAGCACCTGAGCAGGTAGAGAACAGAGCACCTGAGCAGGTAGAGAACAGAGAACCTGAGCAGGTAGTGAACAGAGTACCTGAGCAGGTAGAGAACAGAGTACCTGAACACGTAGAGAACAGAGTACCTGAGCAGGTAGAGAACAGAGTACCTGAACACGTAGAGAACAGAGTACCTGAACACGTAGAGAACAGAGTACCTCAAACAAAAAGGCCAAAGCGAGAGGACAGAAGAGAGAAAATCAGGTAAATTGATGCTTGGTCAGACAGAAGAGTGTTAAAGACAGTGTTTCAGACTCTATCCTCCCCCGTCAGTAATAATTAAAGGAGAGTGAAAGCTGAGAGCACTGCAACGAAGCACTTTGACTTTCCTCAAATTCACACATACATGCAAGCAGACAGAAACTGGTGTGCAGATTTGAGTCAAACTGCAGTGCAGCATGACTTCCTCCAACCAGCTCGTCGACTCTTCGTAGCTCTGTCTCCTTGTCTCCTTGTCTCCTCCCTCTCCTCCTCTCCTCCCTCTCCTCCCTCTCCCCCTCTCCTCCTCTCCTCCCTCTCCTCCCTCTCCTCATCTCCTCTCCGCTCCTCCTCTCCTCCCTCTCCTCTCCTCTTCTCCTCCTCACATCCCTCTCCTCCTCTCCTCCCTCTCCTCCTCATCCCTCTCCTCATCTCCGCTCCTCATCTCCGCTCCTCTCCTCCCTCTCCTCCCTCTCCTCCTGTCCTCCCTCTCTCCCTCTCTTCCTCTCCTCCCTCTCCTCCCTCTCCTCCTCTCCTCCCTCTCCTCCTCATCCCTCTCATCTCCGCTCCTCATCTCCGCTCCTCATCTCCGCTCCTCTCCTCCTCTCCTCCTCACATCCCTCTCCTCCTCTCCTCCCTCTCCTCTTCTCCCTCTCCTCCCTCTCCTCTCCTCCTCACATCCCTCTCCTCCTCTCCTCCCTCTCCTCTCCTCCTCTCCTCCTCTCCTCCCTCTCCTCTCCTCCTCTCCTCCTGACATCCCTCTCCTTATCTCCGCTCCTCATCTCCTCTCCTCCTCTCCTCCTCACATCCCTCTCCTCCTCTCCTCCCTCTCCTCCCCTCCTCTCCTCCTCACATCCCTCTCCTCCTCTCCTCCTCTCCTTGTCTCCTCCGTCTGTCGTCTCACTGAAGAGGCGTTAGCAGCTGCAGTGGCCTCGTAATTAAATGGGTGTTTTTCTTAAAGCATCTTTTCTTCAGAATCGTGGAATGCAATCAACATAATTCAAAACACACTCGAGCATTTCACGACACTCCATCTGATGGAAAACATCTGCTCTCTGCAGCATCAACACGTCTTCAAACACACTCGTGAAGTCCTGATGTGAGCCTCAGAGCTGTGACGTACTGCAGGAGACAGGTAGGGTTCAGGACTCTGAGGGTCTGCATCCTGATGGTAGCTTTGGAAACACATTCATAAAACCATGAAGCTTCTTTCGATATCGAACCAAGAGCTCCATCTCTGCTGAACCTTATCACAGAGCTGTCAGAGTGGAATCATTCAAACACTAGAGAGGAATAAACTGAGCTCATTTTTGTCTTTAAGAAGTTTGTCTTTCTGAGGACAGGTGTTCTGCACTTTGTAAAACCCCTGAGGGACATTTGAGGTTTGTGATTTGGGTTCTGCAAATAATACTGACTTGACAACATTGAACGTCTATGATGTCAGTGAACAGACAACATTAAGGTCGGTTATTGGATGTGAACACGAGGAGACAGACCTGAGTGTCTCAAGGTGTTCAGAGCTTAATGCTGATATTTTAGTACTTTTAATGAATTACGTTTTACTTTAACATAGTTTTTCTATATTGTTGTATCACAGCTAAGAAAAGATTTGAATACTGAAGATTACTACAGAATATGTGACTGCGATTCACCTACAGGGTCACACACACACACACACACACACACACACACACACAGGAAGGGTTAGTTAGTATACATAAAAACATCAGTAAGGGTTAGTTAGTTTACATAACAACATCAGGAAGGGTTAGTTATTTTACATAAAAACATCAGGAAGGGTTAGTTCACATAACAACATCAGGAAGGGTTAGTTAGTTTACATGACAACATCAGGAAGGGTTAGTTAGTGTACATAAAAACATCAGGAAGGGTTAGTTAGTTTACATAACAACATCAGGAAGGGTTAGTTAGTGTACATAAAAACATCAGGAAGGGTTAGTTATTTTACATAACATCAGGAAGGGTTAATTAGTTTACATAACAACATCAGGAAGGGTTAGTTAGTTTACATAACAACATCAGGAAGGGTTAGTTAGTGTACATAAAAACATCAGGAAGGGTTAGTTATTTCACATAAAAACATCAGGAAGGGTTAGTTATTTTACATAACAACATCAGGAAGGGTTAGTTATTTTACATAACAACATCAGGAAGGGTTAGTTAGTTTATAGAGAGACACGAAGATTCAGAGACATGAAACACTCATGAAATCCGTTCTGTTGTTTCCTGATGTGTTGTTCATGTTGACTAAAACATGTGTGCATGTGTGTTTGTTTGTATGTGTGTGTCTAGCTGAACTCTCTGATTTCTGTGTTTTTCAGGCGAAGAGTTTTATGAAACGTCTCCCTACGAGCCGATTCATTTCTCTGAGGAATTCCGACATGCTTCCATCATCTCAGGTATGTGTGTGTGTGTGTGTGTGTGTGTGTGTGTGTGTTTGTTTGTGTTGGGCGGATTTCAAAGAAGAATCCAAATCTCAGCGTCTCCCTGCTGATTAAGATGAACTGAACATCTCTCTCCATCTGTGAGTGTGTGAATGAATGCCTTCTTTGTGTGTGTGTGTGTGTGTGTGTGTGTGTGTGTGTGTGTGTGTGTGTGTGTGTGTGAGTGAGAGACTCCAGCTGAAGCGTAGCCTTTCAAAAAACGCTTCTCAGCACATTTCTCCTCCTTTAAGGGGCAGAGAGATAAACGTTCATGATATTTACGTGTCGGCATCAGACGTCGAACATTAAAGGTTTACTGTTTAGAGGTGGCGCGGTGGAGCAGCGGTCAACCCGTCATGTTGTGGTTAGAACTCAGTGTGTGCTCTGCTTCCTCACAGTCCACTTTGTTTTGCAACCGGTTAACAGGAAGTGACCATATCTGGACTTAAGAGGAGTGACGTAGAGACCTGTCAATCACAGTGTAGCCCCGCCCTAAAGTATACCCTTCTTTATGGTCTGTTAGAGACCTGTCAATCACCGTGTAGCCCCCCCTTAAGCATGCCCTGCTTTATGGTCTATTAGAGACCTGTCAATCACCGTGTAGCCCCGCCCTAAAGCATCCCCTGCTTCATGGTCTGTGTGACTCTAAATGGACCATAATGTACTAAATGAACATCATGCTGTATTGAAGAAGACTTGAAACTAGAGATTGAGACCATAAACTCATGTTTACAATGTTTACTGAGGTAATAAATCAAGAGAGAAGTAGAGTCATTTTCTCATAGACTTCTATACAACCAGAGGAGGTTGCAAAGTGTGAATAACTGTGACTATTTAAAGATAAACAGCTGTGAACAAAGACAACAAAGCGGAACAAATATGATCACCACAACACAATATAAATATATACAATTTATATATATACATAAACATATATGTTTATGTATATATATATATTTAATCACATCGTCTGCGTTGAGTGTCTTTGTATTTACCTCTGACTTTATGTTTCCTTTTCACTCACTCCTCTTCCTCACTCTTCATCGCTCCATCAGCAGCTCTGTGATTGGTCACACTACATTAGAGCTGCTGCACTCATCTCACACACACACACATACACACACACACACATACACACACTTTCTCTGCTTCAAACACCTTTCTGAGGAGTGTTTAAATGTCACGAGCCCCGAGCACTACGTCGTCACTTACACTGTGTGTGTGTGTGTGTGTGTGTGTGTGTGTGTGTGTGTGTGGTCAAACAGCTGTGAAATAGACTCACAGCTCTGTAAATTGGGTTCTGCTCTCTCAGATTAACACAACATGAGTACAAACACGGTGAAAGCAGGAGAGCTGCAACCAATGCAACTTCAAAAGCTTCATATCTTTTCCTCACACACACACACACACACACACACGAGCAGAGAGTTCAGCTGCTGTGTGACATCTCAGTTATTTCCAATATCCGACCCACAAAACACGACATCCATCTGCCCATGTGCAGAGCATGTGTGTGTATGTGGGTGTTGTTGTGCAGTGTGTGTGTGTGTGTGTGTCTTAAATCACCTGTCTGCTGGAAGCTTCTGAAAGCTGAACGCTCAGAGATAAGAGGATAATAAAGAAAGAGAGGCGCAACATTAAAGGATGTTTCAGACAAGACCGACGCAAATTGATTGGAGGGAAGGACGAGTGTGTGTGTGTGTGTGTGTGTGTGTGTGTGTGTATGTGTGTGTGTTTGACAAGGAGAGGAAGGAGGAATAAAGTGAATTAACGTTCTGATCAGTGAACCGGATCTGATGCTGAAACAAGAGGACGATGTGAGTCTCTGAGAGGATTCATCAGAACATAATAATCATGTGTATTTATTCAGATTGATGACCTCATCAATCTGAATAAATATCAATCCAGCATCAGAACATATTCAGTCATCAGAGAGTTGTTTGTTTCTCGTGGTTCTTCATCAGAACCAATCACTTCACTGGTGATCATCAGACCTCATAAATATATGTATATATATGAGGGGGAGGAGGAGAGGAGAAGTGAGGAGACAGAAGGGAGGAAAGGTAACAAGGAAAAGAGCAATGGGGTCAAGAGGAAACAAGAAAAAATACAATAAGAAAAAGAGAAAGAGGAGAGGAAAGAATGAAGAGAGGTGAAGAGGAGATGAAGAGGAAACAAGAGAAGAGCCGAGGGTCGAGGAGATGAGGAGGAAACAAGAGAGAAGAGAGGTGAAGAGGAGATACGCTTCAACTGATAACAGTGTTGATACAACAAAAATCTACTGACACTTCCACTGCTATGACTCTTAACATGACAGTTCACCTGCTTTCATCTCGTACATCTAGTCTCTCACAGACCTGGATCAGCGGGTCGGCGGTTCGATCCCCAGCTCCTCCGAGTGCTGATGTGTAGATGATTATAGATCAGAAGTATAGAATACTGAGACACTCCACTTGCTTTCAGCACACACTTTTGAAGTGGCTGTTTTCATCTGTAATTATTTTAGTGATGAAAACAGTACACTACAAATGACACTTCAGTTCCTTTCATTACTTACACTTCGACTCCTTTATTGTTTTAGGTTTTTCACTTGAAACCTGAACAGTTTCTTTTAAGACTCCTTCTTCAACAGACACTTCAGGTCCTTTCATGCTCTCGGATGATTTCACCTCCTTTTAGAGCTTAAACTTTACACTTGACACTTCAACTAAATTCACTGCTCTGAAGACCATCAGGACCAAGCGCCGGACCTGGGGTGACAGGGCCTTCTCAGCTGCTGCACCTCCCCTCTGGAACGCCCTCCCCATCCGCGAGGCTTCCTCCCTATCATCATTCAAACAAGCCCTCAAAATCCACCTCTTCAAACTCGCCTTCACCTGCTAACCCCTGCACCCTACCCTCCATTACATGATCCATTCAGCACAGCTTCTCCAGTCATTCTTTTTTCATTCTTTTTTATTTTTTATTTTTTGTTTGTTTGTTTGTTTGTTCTGTTTGTCTCTGCCTTGTAAAGCGTCTTTGGGTATCTTGAAAAGCGCTATAGAAAATTGATATGTTATTATTATTATTATTACTGCTTAATCTGACTCTTCAACTTCTTTCAGTCACTTTAATTCTTCCCGTATTCTTTAACTGGACCTTAACTCTCCACATTAACCGACACTTCACACCCCTTCAGGTCTCAGGTCTTCACCTTTGAACTAAAAAAGAACTTCAGCTCTTTCAGCGTTTCTTTAACCTCTTTCTCTAAAAGTTGTTATGTTATTTTGACTGCCACTTTAATTTAGATTCCAAATATTTCCTCTCTAAGTTATTTCTTTACTTTTCTCCAGATGTTTTCTGGTCTCTTATATTGCTTCAGCTTCGGGGTTCTTCAGATGTTAAAAAGCAACATTTCCAGAAAAAAGCTATTTGATTTGTATTTTAATGGGGTTAGCACTGGGATTAGCATTAGCACCGGGATTAGCATTCGTATTAGCATGTTGCTACATGATGCAGCTTCATGTAATTCTGTTGTCTTTCTGACTTAAGGAGAAAATCATGAACTGTGGTTCACAAACATGAAATAAGTTCAGAGATCCAAAGTGTTTTTATTTGTTGGTTAAAATAACTTTATGTCTGAGAGCTGAGAGCTGTCCGTGGTGCTGACCAGATGATCATCGTCTCTGTTTTACTGAGGATGTTTCTCACTTTGAGTTGAGAGGTTTAATAGAAAGCTTCACTATCAGGACTCAATGAATTCACATTATTATTATTATATTTCTTCTTCTTCACATCCTCCTTCATTTCATTCTCTCTCTGTTACATTACAATCATTTGGCAGACGCTTTTATCCAAAGCGACTTAGAATTCAGAGTTTATCACATTATACACCGGGAGCAATTTTTGGGGTTAAGTGTCTTGCTCAAGGACACATCGACATGCGACTAGCAAAGCCAGAGCTGGGGATTGAACCACCGACCCTCTGATTGAAAGACGGCCATCCTATCACAGCTACCACAGTCGCCCATGTTACACTCCCCCATGCCCACTTCCTCCCTCAAGTCCTGTGTTTGACCTTGTTAGATCCGTCTCAGCGCTGTGTGTAGGTGCGCTGTGTGTAGGTGCGTATGTGTGTGTTTGTGTGTGTGTGTGTATATATACGTGTGTGTGTTTGTGACATGGAAAGGGACACTGGAGCACATGGTGTTTTAATAAAACATTATGTGAGAGTGTGTCTCCGTGTGTGTGTGTGTGTGTGTGTGTATAAATGTGTGTCTCTGTGTGTGTGTGTATATATGTGTGTGTTTCTGTGTATATGTGTGTGTGTGTGTGTGTGTGTGTGCCCCAGGACAGAGCTTTGTGTGTTGATCCTGTGTGAGGACGATAACAGGACGACCTGAGGCTGCTCCTCTCTAATTGGCCCGCTCTCTTCTTCTCTACATTTATATATATATCTGTTCCCTTTCTTCGTCTTCTGCTCTCTGCTGTGAGGTAGAGGAGGAGGAGATGAGAGAGGAAGCCTCAGGTTGAGGGTTAAACATATGAAACATGAAGAGCTTTCTGTCTCCATCAGTCTTCTGAGATCTGTTTCTTCTTCTGTGGTTTGTTCAAGTGAAGTCAAAGAATAGCTCACTTTATTTTATCCGGTTGATCCGGTTTGATAGAGTTTAAAAACCAGAAGAGATAAAACCAGAGAACTGTCATATTATACATATTACATATTTATATATAACATATTATAAAGAGTGAAGAATGAACTCAATAACCTCAGTAGTTCCTCCTGATGAGTACTTGAACGGGAAGGTTAAAACCATGACATTAAGTTAGTGAAATAATATCTGGATGTATTTATGCTAATGTAGCATCTAATGTGGGATTAGCATGGAGTGTGTGCGTGTGTGTGTGTGTGTGTGTGTGTGTGTTGTTTGTGTTCAGTCAGACGAGCACAGAGGTTATCTGCAGCATCGTGTGACTGAACAAACTGATACTGTAGACAAACAACATGATACACACACACACTTACACACACACATACACACACCTCACACACACACACACACACACACACACTTACACTTACACACAGTGGTGGGCCGTCAGGGCCAGCAAGGCCTTCTCTGCTGGCCTAAACAGAATCACAAAGTTATAGCTATTTTATAATTTAATAATTTTTCATAAATACACTACATGTATTATATATTTTTCCCATTATCTTATTTTCTCATTGCACAGCTCCTGTCTTCCTCAGTTGCTCTGCTTCCAGTGCAGCTTGTTTTAAGTAGAGCTTTTATCCAATCAGATCTCACCTCTGTGTCTCTAGGTAAGAACAGAGGCAGAGGCCTGCAGACTCACAAGTGCATCCATGTGCAGTTTAAGTGAATGGGGACGATATTGTTGATTGTCATAGTGTTCAACCAATCAGATCTTTAGTTTGACATGTTGGGCGTATTCTTTGACGTATCAGAGCTGCTAGCTGGTCTACAACTACGTCAGCATTACATGCAGCTCAGTTTTCAGGTGCAGCTCTGCAGTGAGGTGCAGCGTGTGCTGTGATTCGTCAGTGGGCGAGCACGTGACTATCGTGAAACGAAACTTAAAGTAGCCATCAGAGGCTTAGTCGGAGTAGTGAGAGTTGAAATTGAAAGATATGGAAGAAATTATGACATTTTTTGCATTTTGTTTGGTGTAGATTATTATTGTTTTACCTACCTTTGTTTTTTTAACACTCAATGGCTGAAGGAGGAGAAACAGATTTGTGAGTTGGGATTTAACCGGATTAAACTCTTTGTCAACAAAGGAAGGAGGATGGAGTTTGTCATTAAGTGAACAGCATTTGTGTTTTCACATCTAATATCTGAATGGCCCTCCAGTGTGCAGCAGAATGCGTGTTGCTGCAGGTCTGCTGGATTGATTTGTTGCTCTGTTGTCATATGAATATATGTGACTGGTTCTTGTGAGTTTGTTCTTGTCATTGTGGCATTGTCCGTTAATTACGAAGCATACCGTCATGCGCAGAGTTATTGTTTGTTAAGCTAGTTAGCATAGCCTCCCAGAAGTGCGGTGCCTCAGCTGTTTTTTTTTGTTCCGGGTTCAGAGGTTGTCTGCCCATTGTCTCCTACGTGAGTGCAGTCCACTGAAAACATTATATTTCCTACAATTTAAGCTTCTGCATTTTCCAAATGCACGAGTATTATTCAAACGTATTGTTCGGTTCATAATACGAATACGTGATGTTACACCATAGAAACAAATAACCGTACACACACACACCTACACACCTACACACACACACACCTACACACCTACACACACACACACACACCTACACACCTACACACACACACACCTACACACCTACACACACACACACGCACACACACACACTTACACACCTACACACACACCTACACACCTACACACACACACACCTACACACACCTACATGCACACACACACACACCTACACACCTACACACACCTACACACACACACACACACACCTACACACACACACACGCACACACACACCTACACACACACACACACACACACACACACACACACACACCATAACTGCAGCCATATTGATATGTAATAGTCAGTGACAGCACAGAGTGAGGTGCTGACAGCTCTCACTGAGTCTCATCTTTACTTTCTTTGCTTCTGTTTGTGAACCAATAGGACATTGATCCTGTATATAGCATGTTAGCATCTGTCACATTAAAAAACAATCTAAATGATGGGGTCACGAGATCAGAAGACTAGAAAGGTGTTTCATAAATAAACCAGATAGATTATGGAAAAAAACTCTGAATTGATTTTTGAGGAAAACAAAACATACCTGAAAGGTTTCTGATGTTTCTCCTGTTTCCAAATCACGAGACAGGAAATGCATCGTGTGCAAAGGATTGTGGGTGTTTTAGAAGCGTGTAGGAAACACACATGCATCTTTAATATGCTCTGCAGGAAGGACTCTAAAGGAAGTGTCCTTCTGTGGGAGTCTATGACGTAGCATCCTTTCAAGGAGAAACACTTCCTGTTTCCTATGAAGTCTCAAACTGAATCTCTTATTTTACTTTACAACGTTATGACATCATAGTTTCAGATGTTTCAAACCTCCGTCAGAGGACGTTTATCTGGAGTTATATGTAATAGTAATATTAAAGCAGGAAGCTGCAGCTTTCACTCGTCACATGTCATCACTCTAAAGGTCTCAGCTGTCCGTCACATGACACCGGTGTCATGTGACGCGTTGGACCTGGTTTTAATGGAGTCCACAAGTGTGTTCACACTCGAATGTCATGTGACATTCACACATGAGATCAGATCTCACTGGACCTCGAAGAGGGAGGAGTGTTCTTTCTCTGTGAAGGTCCTGGAGATCTTAAAGGCTCTTAAGGTCCTGAAGGCTGCTTCATGTGTTAGAGCTGCATTCCCTCTAGTGTCCACCAGGGGGCGACTCCTCTGGTTGTATAGAAGTCTATGAGAAAAAGACTCTACTTCTCTCTTGATTTATTACCTCAGTAAACATTGTAAACATGAGTTTATGGTCTCAATCTCTAGTTTCAAGTCTTCTTCAATACAGCATGATGTTCATTTAGTACATTATGGTCCATTTAGAGTCACACAGACCATAAAGCAGGGGATGCTTTAGGGCGGGGCTACACAGTGATTGACAGGTCTCTAATAGACCATAGAGCAGGGGATGCTTTAGGGCGGGGCTACACAGTGATTGACAGGTCTCTAATAGACACCACCAGGTCAACACCACGACGTTGTTCGTGATTTCGATACATATTGATGATTAATATTATTAAAGACGTAGATAATAGACAAAGAGAGTGATGAAGCTGTAGAATGCTGAATTATTACAGCTTCAGTGATTTTAAATCTGTCACATCGTCCTCTAACTCTTCTTCTTTTTCTTCTTTGTCTCTTCCTCTTCTTTCTCTTCCTCATCCTCTTCCTTTTCCTTCTTCTTCTTCTTCTCCTCCACTGTTTGTGTAGATTCTTCTTTGTCGAGGATGAACCCCTGCTCTGAAGCAGGGAAACGCTGTAACCCGTGTCTGGACGCAGCAAAGTCGTGTAACCTGAACGAGACATGTAAACGCCTCCGATCCGCCTACAACGCCATCTGCAGCAAGGCCATGCCCCCTCAGCCCTCCGTGGCCAATCAGGAGCCCTGCAGCCGGAAAAGATGTCAGAAGGTGGGTGAAGAATTATCTTCTGGTTATTTATATTTGGTTTAATGTTAAATACTGAAAGCCACCGCGCACTCTTATATTAGGATAAGGATGTTTATTGTCATCGTAGAAACATACAACGAAATTAAGTTGGCGACTCATTAGTCAGTACAGCAGCAACAGGTACAAATGTATAAAAACATGAAGACAAGACATGAAATAAATATATACAAGATAAAACACAGGCATCAATGGCTTTAAAGTGAAAAAGTGTCATTTTATTGCCTATTTTTGTTTCACCGCAGCATTGTCCGGTGTGAGCTGGTGGGGTGGTGGGTGGGGGTGGGGGGGTGATGGAGGAAAGCGCTCTGGGGAAGAAGCTGTTCCTCAGCCTGCTAGTCTGGGTTTTGATGGTCCAGTATCTCCTTCCTGATGGCAGTGGAACAAACAGAGAGTGACCCGGGTGTGTGATGTCTGTGCAGATGTGGCCTTCTTCTGGAGGCGGCCAGCATACACAGTGTGCAGGTCAGGGAGGGTAACTCCCACAATCCTGCTGTTCTAACCACCCGGGCCAGGTCCCTCCTGTTCTCTGCTGTGCAGCTGGCGCACCACACACTGAAGCACTGACACAGGATGCTTTCAATCATAATCGTAATAATACAGAACAAGGTTTTCTCCTAAAAATGAGTAAAACACGTGTTCCTCCTCTGATAAGATTAAAAAAGACATTAAATATATCAAATGATGATTGGCTCGGTCACACATTTTGATCTGAAAAAAATGTATTAAAAAATTCAAAATGAATTCATCTGAAGAAGAAAATAATGAAAATGTTCAAAGCTTCTAAAAGTCTTCAGATGGAATCACTTCAAATTAACCCAATAAGACTTCAGCTTCTCTTGTTACCTTAGATTTAAAGATTCACTCAATATCAATATGTATAAATATAAACACATACTTGTGTACATATGTATGTACTTGTAAAGTATAAATACTCACATAAGTTCATTATAGAGTAATGCGCGCGATCGTCTCGTTACAGGATCGTGACAATATCAAAATACATATTTTCGTGTTTTTAAATAAACATAAGCACGAGAGAACAAACTGCTCTTAACTCAACTCTTTATTAGCATAACTTCCTCATGCTACTGCCACGCTACAGACTACAGGTTCATGCTTCACCTACATTCCCCTGGGTCCTAAGTCCCTCCATGTACAGCTTCTTATCACCCTCTATGTACCAACGTACATTTATAACAAATACCACACATATTACGGTAATCAGCGTTGCATATGTGTCTGACCACAATACCAAAAAAGCAAAAGAGAAATGATTCATTTAAATAATTTGTTTAGAGTTTTTAAAGTGTTTTCTTTGTAATATGTATAATAAGCATCATTGAGTTATCACTACTGAGAATTTAACAAACATAAAAACATGACGTAGATATGTTTGCAGTTCTCAAGAAGTATATTTAAATATCATCTCTTACACACATGAAGATAAAGTTATGAACACCGGCTGAATATCTACAGTATGATCAGGATCATTATAACTGTGTTATAACTGCTGCTGTGTAAAGGGAATACTGCTGCTAACAGCAACCTGATGTGTTTAAAGTGTTTTAACCAAATGTTATTGACCTTTAGTTCATATAGCAGTACTTTAAAATAAAAGTGCACAATACACTACTTTTGAATTCATTATTGAACTTTGCGCATAACAATGAGATTAATCACGATTAAAAATTTAAATCGTTGACCAGCACTATTATAAATATAAACATACATATATATACAGTATAATCTATTAATGGTTGTGGTCCTCAGGCCCTGCGTCAGTTCTTCGAGCGGGTCTCCTGGGAGCTCAGCTACCCTCTGATGTTCTGCTCCTGTCCGGATCAAGCTTGTGCCGAGCGGCGCCGTCGGACCATCGTGCCGTCCTGCTCTCACCAGGAGAGACACAAGCCCACCTGTCTGGAGCTCCGGAGCACCTGCACCTCCGACGCTCTGTGCAGGTAAAGAACCTGCAGCGACCAATCAGGCGTCAGCGTGACCGGGTCACATTCACACATTGAGCTCTGATGATTATCATCAGAACTCATCAGTGAATCAGCTGCTGGAGGGTTTAAATAGAGAGACGCTTGATTGATAACTACTAGCTTTAAAGGTCAGAGGAGCTTCAAGTGGAGGAAGTGAATTAGTAACGAGAGAGGAAGGAGAGAGGAGGAAGAGAATTAGGAAGAAGAGAGGGAGGAAGAGAGGGAGGAGAGAGGAGGAAGAGAATTAGGAAGAAGAGTGGGAGGAAGAGAGGGAGGAGAGTGGGAGGAGAGAGGAGGAAGAGAGGGAGGAAGTGAATTAGTAACGCCTAATATTATTGTGTGTGTGTGTATGTGTGGTATAAATATCATTGTGTGTGTGTGTGTGATATAAATATCATTTTGTGTTGTAGTGAACAGCTGATGAACATCTGGAGCTGGTTTCACTTCTCACATTCTGTCTGTTTATCTCAGCAGCTGATCACTGAGACAGATGTTGAATCTCAACATGCAGATGTTCAGTAAAGAGTCCTCTTTTAACGAGACAGAAACCTGCAGCTGCTCACAATAATATAATAATATAATAATAATAATAATAATAATAATAATAATAATCTACTCAACAAGTGTGTTCAGCATTTTTAAAACCTCTTTCTCACCCAGATCTTGAGAATCTTTAATTAGAATACATGTATTCATGAATACGTCTGTAGATGAATACATTCATATATAGTCATATATTCACATGTATTCATCTACAGATGTACTCATCTATAGTTCTATACATCTACAGATGAATACATGAATACATCTACAGATGAATACATCTGTAGATGAATATATGTGAATATGTGAATATATATGAATGTATTCATCTACAGACGTATTCATCTGTAGATGTATTCATGTATTCATCTGTAGATGTATTCATGTATTCGTGTATAGATGTCTTCATGTATTCTAGATGTATAGATCTATTGATGTATCACAGCGGATCTTTACCAGTTCAACTTTAAAGTCTTAATTTCATGTTAAAGGTCATTAGGTCATAGCTCTATTACATAATAATTATATTCATATTTCATATCTTCTGCTCTCATCTCTACTGAATCTCATCTAAGCTTTTTTAATGTTGAACTTCATCAGTGAAATGTTTGATAAGAATATAAGAAAGATTCAGTTCAAAGTGGCGGAAGAGGAGCGTAAACAGTTCAACATGTTTATGAGACCTGAAGGACTCAAACATCTGTTTGTTTCCATGACAATTCAGAAAGCTTTAAGTGTTTAACGAGGTCACAGCCTCCGTATCAGTAAAAGAGAAATGAATTATTCTGTGTGAGAAACCAACAAAGAGTCACTTCAGCTCTTTAACATCTCAGAGAGTTCAGCTGAACCTCATCAGCCTCCTCTGGTGGATTTAACCCCCTGAAGAAACATACAAACCTTCTGGATCAATAAGTCTTCATCAAACACTTCAAGTTATTATCTCACTACGAGTTACTATCTCACTACGAGTTACTATCTCACTAAGAGTTACTATCTCACTACGA